GGCGACGGCGGTGTGCAACTGTCTGGTGGTCAAAAGCAGCGCGTAGCCATTGCCAGGACACTCGCCAGAGACCCGAAAGTCCTCCTCCTCGATGAAGCCACTTCCGCCCTGGATGCGAAGAGCGAGAGCATCGTCCAGGCTGCCCTCGACAACGCTTCCAAAGGACGGTCCACAATCGTCATTGCCCATCGCCTCTCAACCATCAGGAATGCCGACAAGATTGTCGTCTTCGAGAAGGGCGAGATCTTGGAGCAGGTCAGTTTTTACCAATTTTAATTGTTTTCGAAAATATGTATAAAATTTCAAGCGTAAGTCTATAAACATGGTTTAGGGCAACCACGAGCAACTTGTGGCCCAGCAGGGCAAATACTACAGCCTCGTCAAGGCCCAGCAATTCCAGCCCGAAGAAGATCAGATCGTTCAGGACGAGATCGAAGATGAGATCGATTTGGGGTACGTCAACTGGAATGTTTCGAATGTTTTATTTTTTTAGTGACTCTCAATCCCAGAGCACCCACCGAAACTCGTCGCGAATGCAGTCAGAGACCAGAATTTCCGGCCGTGATCAGTTTATCCGGTGGGTTTCCGGTTTTTTCGAGAAAGATCCGGATCCGGAGGTGCTTGTGCCTTAGCGGGGGTCTAAAAATCAAGATATGTCTGGTAAGACCATGGCAAGGATTTTATTAAGACCCTTTTTAGCAAAAACTAGCTGGGAAAAATTCTCTAGAAAGGATAAAAACTTAATAATCCAAATTTTGGACGAAAAATCGATATTTTTTATTTTTAATAAGAATTTGTGGTTTGTTACCCACAAGAACATCACAAAACCATGTAATACACTTTTATTTCCACTTGTAAAAATGGAGGAAAATTTGGCACGACCCCCCCCGATAATGCGAAAGTACCCAATAATGATAAATAATATCGATAACTAATATATTGATAAAATGTGATTTATTTAATCTAGTTGATATATATATATATATAGTTTAATAAACATTTTTAGACAATCCACGATGAACAGCTCGTTCAGCGCCGGCGGGCGTGACCCCAGCGGCATGGCCACCGAAAACGCCGAATTCGCAGCGGAAGTACAACGCGTCATGGACCAAGACGAGAAGATCACCGCCGGCTACCTGGACATCTTCAAGAACGCCAAGGGGCAGTACCTGAACATGACGCTGGGCGTGATCTGCGCAATTTGTCGTGGCCTGGAGCTGCCTGGGTTGGCACTGGCTTTCGGATATGTTTTTGAGGTAATTTTTGAGAGGGTTGTCGGAGTTATATAGAAATTTCAAAGCAATTTTTTTTCTTAAAATTTCAGATATGCATAATTACACCATAGTCATCAATTTATTAATTTTTTTAATTCACGTTTTTCACGTGAAAAATATTGAGGAAACCTTGAAAAATACTTGAAAACTTCGAACTTTGGTCGAAAAGGGGAATTTTTGTCGGCAAATCGATATTTTTGATATTCTGTCGAAGTAACGCCAAAATGCCGACAACCAAAATCCCGAAAGCCAAAATGCCGACATGTAGAATAGCCGTTTAAGCGGAAGTGGCATTCAAATTGGCCTCAAGAATCTGGCGGAATTTCGGCTTTCGGCTTTTTGACTGTCGGGATTTTGGTCTGTCGGCATTATGGGCTTTCGGAATTTTTGCTGTCGGGGTTATGGCGCGAATTCTGATTTTTCATGAAAATTTGTAAAGTTAATGCGCAAGTTAAACAACCTATACCTTTCAAATTCCAGGGCTTCCAATTCACCCCCTACACCGACGGGCGGATGATGCATCGATTGGCGCTTGGCATCATCGTCTACTCTGCCATTGGAGTCGGATGTCTCATTTTCCAGACATTATCGGTAAGTTTAAAAGTTACTTTTTGGTAATTAAAGCCCCATTTTTCAGAGCATCCTCTTCTCGGTCGTCTCCGAAGAGTTGGCGATGCGCTTCAGGGTGCTCTCCTTCCGCCAAATCCTCCACCAAGATGCCTCCTACTTTGACAACCCGGCCCACACACCCGGAAAGCTCATCACCAGACTGGCCTCCGATGCTCCCAACATCAAGGCGGTCGTCGACACGAGGATGTTGCAGTTCATCTACGCCGTCACGGCTATCATTGCAAATATTGTGATCGCGTTCGTGTGCGCATGGCAGGTGGCCACGATTGGGACAGGTGAGGGAAAAAAAAAAAAAAAAAAAAAAAAAAAAAAAAAAAAAAAAAAAAAAGAGAAGAGAGAGAGAGAGAGAGAGAGAGAGAGAGAGAGAGAGAGAGAGAGAGAGATGAATGTTCTAGCCAGATTCTTATCCGACCTTTAGGCCTCATGCTCCTCCTCTGGGCGTGGATGATCTTCCTCGGCAACCTCATCATGAAAAAGAACCTCTTCCTGATGAAGAACAACGAGTCCGGCAGGGTCAGTTGATCCCCACAAACTTTTACCAAATTTCTGACTTCAGATCGCGATCGAGACCATCGAGAACGTGAAGACCATCCAGCTGCTGACCCGGCAAGAGGCCTTCTACAAGATGTACGAGGAGGCCAGCAAGAAGCAAAAATACCGCGAACTGAACAAATGTAAGAAAATTCCAATAAATTCAACTTCATCTACCGTGTTTCAGGCTGGTACGAAGCGGTCAACTTCACCTTCTCGCAGTCGATCCTCTACATGATGTTGGCCATCGTGTACGCCGTCGGCATCAGGGTCATCTACGTGGGGGACAAGTCTTCCGATGACGTCTTCAGGTAGGTTTAACTCATTCTAAACGTCTTGAAAATTCTAAACATCAGCCAAAATGACCATAAAAACATTTAGGGCTATCACTGCCATGCTTTTGGGTACGGTAGCTGTGATGAACTCCACCCCCTATTTGCCCGAGTTCATCAAGGCCAAGGCGGCGGTAGGTTTTTCGGGGTTTAAAGGGACTTGGAAGGCAAATTTTGGGCATACAGCTCAACAAATCCATAACCAAACCTTCCCCGACCCTTTAAAAATGTTTCTGCTCCCTAACATTAATGCGCCAATTTTCAGGCCGGTATGCTGTTCAACGTCATCGACCGCAAGCCGAAAACCGGCGACCACAGGGCCGGCGAGACCATCGTAAGTGTTTCTCTCTCACCCGCTCTCTCTCTCCCTCTCTCTCTCTTCTTTTTTGATCTCTCTCTCTCTCTCTCTCTCTCTCTCTCGCCCCTGTCTCTCTCTCCCCTCCTCCTTTCTTTTTGCTAGTAAAGAGACCGTAGTTTTAAAAACATCAAAAATTTCTAGGCCCTCCGCGGAAACATCCTATTCGAAGACGTCAACTTCCGGTACCCGCAACGTCCTCAAAACCCGATCATGACCGGCCTCAACTTCACCGCCCAACGCGGCCAAACCGTCGCCCTTGTCGGGCCTTCCGGATCCGGAAAATCGACCTGTGTCTCCATGCTGGAGCGTTTCTACGACACGAGCGGCGGGTTTGTGGTGGGTATCTTACTGCTATTAACTAAAAGCTTGCCTGTACTTGGAAGCGCAAAAAAATAATAAAAATTGTAACGATTCAAAAAATGTAATGCATTATAAACAAATAGAAGTTAGGTATAGTTTATAAATAGCAAAATATGCATTAAATTAACTATTTCCAGCGCATCGACGGAAAAGACATCAAGGGGCTTTCGCTCCATAATTTGCGTACCCAAATGGCGCTCGTCGGGCAGGAACCGAGACTTTTCAGGTGAGTCCTAATGATACCAAAGTCAATGTTAATCTACCTTTAGTCCTCTTACCTTAAATATACCTTGATTTTAGCGGTTCCATCAAAGAAAACGTGTGCTTCGGCCTGGGCGACGTCCCGATGGAGAAGATCAAGTGGGCACTGAACATGGCCAACGCCGACAAGTTCATCTCACAGCTGCCGGGAGGCCTTGATACTGAGGTATGTAAATACAAGTATGAAGGAATAATACGATACCCTAGGTCGGAGAGAAGGGCTCGCAAATGTCTGGAGGTCAAAAGCAACGTATCGCCATCGCCCGAGCTATCGTCAGAGATCCCAAGATTCTGCTGCTCGACGAGGCCACGTCGGCGTTGGATTCGGAGGCGGAGAAGGTGAGGGAGAGAGAGGGAGAGGGAGAGAGAGAGAGAGACTAGTGAGCTTATTTTCTCTTTTTCAGGCCGTCCAAGAAGCCCTGGACCGAGCACGAGCTGGGCGTACCTGCGTCACAATTGCTCATCGGCTGTCCTCGATTCAGAATGCGGATTTGATTGTTTATATCGCGGACGGAAAGGTGAGAGAGAGCGAGAGAGAGCGAGAGAGAGAGAGCGAGAGACGAGAGAGAGAGAGAGATCAAGCGAGAGAGCGCTTCCATCGATCAATTCCAACAATCCCTTCAGGTTCGCGAATCCGGCACTCACAACCAACTGATGGCTCGCCGCGGCAAATACTACAAGCTCGTCAAGGAGCAGGACCTCACCTCATAACCGTACACGTCATCATATTAAGAATTTTATTTCATACTTTCTCAATTTTAAAGTCTTACAAGAATTTCACCCTCTTTTAAGCCATCAAAAACCTTCCAAAATTGTCATATCCAGGGTTTCCTTCGCTTTTTTTGTTTTTTTTTTTATCCAAAGCTAAAGGTTAGTATAACAATATATGAAATTTAATACCCTGAATGATAATGAATTCCCTGAATTACAATTTTTCTCAATTGCCCACTTTGCTAGCGTCCTCTTCTACGGGTATCCCCCCAAGCCGGGAGAGCATATCCACATCCCCCAATGCCTGTGCTTTTTCCGGTGCTCCATCTGGTTTTTGTTGTTGTGTACAATTTGTGTTTTTGGAAATAAACATACATTTAGAATCCACTAAAAACTACAAAATACAAGCATTACAATAAAAACAGCAAAATGCACAAAACGGTTGAGATTCTCGATTGGAGATGGATTGAAAGCATTAATTGATGGCGTAACTGGAGTGCGATGCCGATAGGAGCTTAGCGTAGCGCAACCGTACGACCATTAGCCAACACCGATATTCAAAAATGAGCCCAGGCCAAAACCGAATCCCGGCGTCATGATACCTTAAAAATTCATTTTTATGTTATGATAGATATGAATGTTCAAAAATCGGTTCTTGGGCATTATCGGGGGGGGATGTCTCCAAGGGAGAGTCCAATTTTTCCAACATAGATAAGCGTTTCTACAATGTTTTTTTAAACCACTAAATGCAAAAACTAACAAATTTGCATAAAAATACAAAAAACCTTGATTTTTCGACGAATAATTTAGAGTTTGGTCTTTTAGCAAATTTATAGAGTTTTTTGGTGGTTTTTCGACTTTAAACATCGTAAAATTTTGTTAAAAACAGTATTACAATGCCTAGTGGCATTTCCGGACTTCAAGGAAAAGCCCCCTCGCTAATGCCAAAGCACCCAAAAATACTACCTAGTCCACTTCCAAGCCCAAAATTAAACGCCTGTCCGCCACCGTAGCCGCCGCCGTAACCCGGGTAGCCACCGTAACCTGAAAATGCGATAAATTACGAAAAATCGATGGGGGTACGGTATTTAAAGGGACGGTGCCAGCAGAAAAAATGCATTCGCAGACGAAACTCAGATTTATAGCGCAAAAAAGCAAAAAAAAACCAAAAATCTAACAGTGCCTGATCTATGTCCCAGCTCGCTTCTATCCCTTGCCGCTGGCTTTAAAACGGAAAATTTCCCGATCCACCTGATTTCCGCCCCACCTACCGTATCTCGGATACCCATATCCGCTCCCATAGCCACCGTAGCCTAAAATAAGGATTTCGCAGTGCAGACCCTGTGGCTACCGTATGGATAATAGCGTGGATAATAGTAGCGTGGATAGTATTGCCCGTAGCTGGGGTATTGATAAGCTGAAAAAGCGAAACTCAGGGTAGCCGAAAAGAACTAAAAAATGCGGTTTTTTTTCGTACTTGGCTGATAGTACGTCTGTTGGGGTTGCTCCATATGGTAGTGGTTGTGGATGATGGTGTCTCTGAAAATGGGTTATACCACGTAATGGGTTAAAGGGATAGGCAAGGCATGGCATTTTGCCGGCTATTTTGTCCTAGGGATTCTGTTACACGCGACGCTCACGCCAATTCACCGCCGTAAAGGGGTAAGAATCGACTACGCAATGGAAAAGCCACTCGTCGCGCGGGGCCCCTGTCTTACGCTTTCCTTTAATAAGCATCAGGTAAGTAAAGAGAGAAATAAGTTTTTTTAACGTACCCCTCCTTCCACTTCCGCTTTATATGCTTCTTCCACATGAAATATTCATATTCCTCGTCCGCATCCTCGTCGTCGTCGATTTGGCGCTTCAAGCGCTCTAAAACCCAATTTTTTTGAGTTTCGAAGCTTAACCTACGAGGCCGAGGTATCTGCTCCTCTCGTTTTGTGCGAAACTCCTCTTCGAGCTCAGTTCTGAAGCAATTGAGTGTTCAATAGTGGCGCTAAAAACTTATACCGAAACTTATTCTTCTCAATCAAGTAATCCCTGCTGGTGAATGGACGTCGGCAGGAGAGGACGGATTGGTGGCGGCTGCAAAACCATCCTAAAAATTCGAATCATTGACGTTTTTCTGTACGTTTTTAAAAAGGTGAGCGCGTCGCGGTTGGAGACGTATAGCCGTAGAAAAAGCTATTCTTGAGACACTAAGACTAACAAGGTAAGTAAGGTAGGTAAAGAAATCTAAGGATGGAGGATAGACATTCGATTTTATTTATGTTCTTCGCTCTCTTTCTTTTCTGTCTCTCTCACTCTCTCGCTTTCTTTCGCTCTCTCTTTACGCGATGCGCGACGATCAGCCGAAAGCACGGTTTTTCGGAAGACTGATGTACTTCTATAACACTTGTCGACTTACTATGAAATTCCATTCGGTCCTCATACGAATAATCTTGAAACGGTGACTCCGCCGCACTAAGCATTTCTATCATAATAAAATATAGAAAAAGGGCCAAGCCCCAGCTGGTTGACGCCATTCTGTCGATTCGCAGACTGATCTGTTCCCCAAACCAAAACTCTCTACCCCCATCCACCCGGATAAACTGGGCGAGGCCAAACGCAAAACGACGGCCCCGGCAAGGACGGTTTTTCAAAAACCCCAAAAATAATCAGGAAACTGGAGAGAAATCGGCATGAGGATGGGGCGCGCAAGGACGTTTTCGGATGCTCCTTTTTGTGGCTTGTGATTGATCAACAAACCTCTAAATCTCTCTCTCGCACTCTCGCTCTCTCTCTCTCCCTCTCCCTCTTACTCTCTCTCTCTCTACTTTTGGCGAGCCGTGGGAGAGGATGAAATCATCCTCCTCTCCTCCCCCAAAATGGCGACCTCCTGACCGACACAATGCCCCATTTCCCGGGGATCGCCCCCTCCCCCTAGTTTGCATAAATAAGAAAAACAAAATGAAAAAGGGCATCCGTCCAAAAACCTACTAAAAAACCCCCGAGGGGACAACGCTACCAAAACCTACAAAAAGCCTACGACACCCGGGATTCCCAAGCCGTCTCCGATCCAAGTACTAACCGAGCCCAACGTTCTAACGGCAGTGGACGGGATGCCGTGCTTTCAACGTGGTATGGTCGTAGGCGGATGTAAAGAGATTAGCGGCCTTCATGAGGGACACGTGTGTTAGTACTGCGCTCCAGCTTTCATAGCTCCTCGACACGATCCCCCCGCCTACGACCATACCACGCTGAAAGCACGGCATCCCGTCCGATCTGCCAAGTTAAGCAACGTTGGGCTCGGTTAGTACCTGGACCGGAGACGGCTTGGGAATCCCGAGTGTCGTAGGCTTTTTGCTGTTTTTTTGGTTGCATAATAGTCAGGGAGATTGTTTGTTGGCTCGTAGAAAGTGCAGAGTTTCATACTAAAATAAAAGCTACCGCACTAACAAGCATGGCATCTGCATTCAAAATTTTCTTACTTTGTGCACTCCCTGTGGGGGAATGCGTTCCAAAATTTGTTCGAAACACTCTTTGAAGAGGTCTCGGGGTTAATGCTAACCTCAAACTTGGGTAATTAAACCGAAGCTGTGGATGGGTCGGGGCTCTTCTCACATATGGACACTCCAGATCGGTGTGTCTACACGGGCAACCACCCATCGTGCGATCTCTCGTTGTCTCCGTCTCTCTAGGACGGTCCGATACTTTCAGATCAGGAGAAATGGTGGTTAGGAAAGAGGGGGAATAGTATTGCACAGGGTGTAGGAGAAAGTCCTAGACGCAGACAACGATAGATCGCTCGCTGGGTGGTTGCCCGGGTAGACACATCGACCTGGAGTGTCCATATGTGAGAAGAGCCCCCACCCATCCACAGCTTCGGTTTAATTACCCAAGTTTGAGGTTAGCATTAACCCCGAGACCTCTTCAAAGAGTGTTTCGAACAAATTTTGGAACGCATTCCCCCAAAGGGAGTGCACAAAGCAAGGATATGACAATGTAGCATTTGTTCTAAATCGCTCCGCCTAGGTCCTACCTAATAATTTGGTCGCGTATCTTTGTCTGTGTGTGTGTGCGAGGTCAGTTTCGAGGCCCGGTTTGAGGGCCTTCCCGTGTCCAAATGCCCTAATTCTCCTCACCGGGAATCGGCCTTCCGCTTTCCGATGGCGTTTTCAGAATCCGGTAATTCAAGTTTACAAGTTAAGCCCGTTTTATTGATTTTTGAGGGTCCGGGCAGGCTAATTTGCATAATGTGAAAAAATACAAATTTCCTCATTCTAGCCAGTTGCACTCGCGCGTGTGGTCGGGGCGGGGGTCCGCAGGACGAGCTATCAGAAAGTCAAACTTTTCATGCAAAGGCCGAATTCCAGCGCCCAAGGCCCGCGAAGCGGGTTTTGGGCGCTGGTTGTTATATGAGTTGGCTTGACCCAAATTTATTTGCCGAGGACTTTACTCAACAACTGGCAAACAATTTTGTGGCAGCAAATTAGAAGTCAACTCAAATCGATTTCCAATTTGTTTGAAGCGGCTTTTGTTCAAGCCGGATCAAACAATATTTGACACGAGTAAACTCGACGGCGAGTTGTTGTTTGAGCTCGAAATTGTTTGCCGGAAGTTTGAAGTGCTAATTAGAGAGGAATTGCAATAAATTTGGCATCAAAACTTAAAATGTACCAATTTTCGTTGTTTTCCTAATTTCCCTTCTCTAATTAGCATCTTTGACTCCGGCAACATTTCCAGCTCAAACAACACCTTCCGTCAGTACTCGCGTCAAATATTGTTGACCCCGTCTGAACACCGCGTCAACAAATGGATCGGTTGATTGACTTCCTATTGCTTGCCACAATTGTGCCGGTGTTGAGTAAAATCACAAACAACCTTGCGGGTAAACGTTGCTTACCGCATTTTCCGCAACAAATTTGCCGCAGCCAACTCATTACACCCTGCTCCGCCTGCAGATACCGCTACGTTTACACCTCTTTGCGTAGAAAGGCTGAGGCAAAGCGTGTGACGCATATGTTCAAAGGCGTATATGTACGGGTGACGGCCATTTCGCCTAAATCCGTTTCGCCTAAACCCGTTTCGCCTAAACCCGTTTCGCCTAAAACCCGTTTCGCCTAAATCCCGTTTCGCCTAAAACCCGTTTCGCCTAAATCCCGTTTCGCCTAATCCCCTTTCGCCTAATCCCGTTTCGCCTAAAACCCGTTTCGCCTATCCCGTTTCGCCTAATCCCGTTTCGCCTAAATCCCGTTTCGCCTAAATCCCGTTTCGCCTAAATCCCGTTTCGGCTAAAACCCGTTTCGGGTAAACTATAAGGTTCGTCGGCAGAAACGACTTGCTTGGATGTAAGGAAAACATAGTACGGTTTATTCATTCAATGATTAATACAGTCTTGTAAATAATTTCGATAAGGGCTCGCGGGTTATTGTCGTCGTAAGCCTAACACATCGCGCGCTGTTCGTCAAAATCCCGGCTGATTTTGCGCTTCGGCATGTAGGCGATCTCGTTCGCTTCGCGAATTTTGACGGCAACCTTCTTGTGCAACGCATGCAGCCGCTCCAGAAAACGCAGGAAAAGAATGAATAAACCGTATTATGTTTTCCTTACATCCAAGCAGGTCGTTTCTGCCGACGAACCTTATAGTTTACCCGAAACGGGATTTAGGCGAAACGGGTTTTAGGCGAAACGGGATTTAGGCGAAACGGTTTAGGCGACGGGTTTAGGCAAACGGGATTTAGGCGAAACGGGTTTTGGCGAACAGGTTTAGGCGAAACGGTTTGGCGAACGGATTTGGCAATGACCGGAATTCTATATGTACGACTGCGCTTCACGATTCGCAAGGACCTGTCTAACAAGCCCAATTTTCAAGGGCTAGCCAGGAAATGCCGTCAACCATGAAAAATTGCTTAAGAGGGTGGCGGCCATATAAAGCCGCAAAAATGTCGTTTACGTCACAGACGCCAAGCGTTCTGAATTCCTAAAATTCGGATACAAACAGTTCAACCTCGAGCAGGCCATGGAGATCATCCACCCCTTTCTTCCTCAACAAAAAACCTACTCACGTTGCACTCCGAAGCATCTGCCAACCAGCCCCTTGACCCTATCGGACAGCCTTCAGCCGGCTGACTAGAAAATGAGGCATTTCGAGCCGGCCGCTCCCAGAATTCCTCCCCAAAATATCACCCCCTACGTCGTCATACACCTGAATCGATGCCGAATTTTTCGGGAATCAGTTGACTACCAAATAGCCGTTTCGAGCGTGCATCCCCCGGAGAGAGGCGTCGTTTTCTTGCTTTTGATTTTTGCCGTATTTTTGTTTGCAATGTCGATTCGGGTTTTGTGGTTTCGGGGTTGTAGAGGTGGGTGTAGTCAATATCTTACGTCCGGTCGGGAGGGCGAAGCGCTGCCGGTTTACGGTGGGAAACATATAACTACGTGTCACCTTGGCAGCGAGTTATAGACGGGATCGAAGAAGTCGGAGTTGCCGACAGTTTTTAGATGTTGGATCTGGGCGAAATTTCTGTAGACTTTCTAAAATTTCGTAGAACCCCGTAAAGTGTCTAGAAACATAAAAAAACTCAGAAAATTTTTCTCGATAAGCTGAAGGTTATGAAATAGGTTATTAGCTATGAATTTTGTTATCTTTGATATCTACGTACTTTCCTAAGATTTTCTGGGCACTTTTTTGAGCTTTGCTAAAGCCTCTTTTCTTCTTGCCTAACTTATATTGGTTTTAAGAGTCGAGACCGGGCCTACGTAATTTCACCACACGTTTATAACTATGTTTAGAATTTGTTGCTTTCTCTTCCGCTTTTGAGTTATTACAACGACTATAGAATCTCAGCTACCACTTTTAGAAGCAAACCCGGGTCCCCCATTTGCAGGCGATGCGTCGCCTAATCCACGGTTTATTCTCTATACTAATTTGCGTGTCCGTAATCCGAGCCGACGCTCCGGAATGTGAGGAAAAGACGCTTGGCACAGTAGGTTTAACATGTACAGTACACCGTGCTACCTACTTGCGAGCTATGCGTAAATAGGTGCTCGCCTAGCGAATCTAGGTGGGCCTGATGGCGTCCATTAAGAGACCTGAAGTCATCTTCATGCCCAAAACTTCCGATTTTCAGAAATACATCGAGGACTACGTCCAATTCCAATGCAACCAGACGAGTGATATGATCGGCTATGTGCCAATTGGTTGGTTTAAACTTCGCGAAATCAAATACCGATTAGGGTGCGCACCAAACAACTCGGCGGCCGGGCCGGTGATCCCGCTGAACGGCGAATACCTGTCGCCGCACTTTGTATTCAAGTGCCTCTCCGAGAAGGTCGACGGGTACACCGAAGTTGAATACGCCATTACGCGTACGGCTTAATGGCAATTTTACGTACTTTTCGGATCTAACAAAGCTTTGACAAGCCCAAGCAATTTTTATGAGCTTTAGAAAAGGATAACTTGCGACCTCCGGAAGGTCATAAAGCTACCTTCTAAACCTCAGATTGCCTTGACGAGCACGGTGGCCGCATCGATATTGGTGAAACCTACTCGGACCCCGCTAACACAGAAGGCCAAGATACTGTAATCGAATGCACCAAACTCGAAAACGGAGCTGTCCGGAAAACCGTCCTGAAATGTTTGTCATTAGCAAAAATCTGGACTCCGAAATTTAGCGACCTACTGCGAGGACAGCAAGGGCATGCAAAAGGCTGATGGTGCCGTTTGGGCCCAGGATCCGCCGAAGGAGGTGTTGAAAAGGTTGTAAAAGACAAAGATAATTTTTCAGGCGAATAAGACGCTGCAAAGCGGCGTTCAAGTGCAATGTCAGAACCAGGGAAAATACTTGAAGGGCGTCCAAATTGGTTGGTGGCGTGGTCAACAAAAAATTCGGAATTTTTAGCCTGCATCGCCTATAATCGACAAGTGATTCCGGTGGGGCAGAAGAAGAAGGTAGATGATCAATGGTAGGTTACTACAGTACTTTACTAATTACTACTACGAACTTATTTCTTAGGATGGAATGCGTGAAGAGGGGAAAATCTGAAAAGGGATATCGAGCTGTGCTGGAGGCTGTTGGAAGTAAGGTTTCCGCATGCGCCTAAGCCTAGCACTAAGCACGAAGTCAAGCCTAAGCCTAAACCTAACCCTACTTTCAGCCCCACCCTGTTTCATCTTTGGCAAAAACTTCACCGACGGCGAACACTTCTTCCGACGTCCCCGCCAAGGTCTTCTACGTGTGCAAGGAAGGAGAGGCGACGATTGACTGTAATTTACAGTTTTTATGAAAACTCCAAGAGATTCTTTCTAGATTGCAAAGACCCCAAGGGCCAGAAAGCTGGAGTTGTACACGCTCGTTTACGTCGACGATAAGCCGCAGTTCTGCTCCGGCTCAGCCGGTCTTGTTGATTTCCAGGATAAGAGTGGGCTCAACTTTCAAAGTAGGAATTTCTTGATCTTTAGAGGGTTGCACTATGGCCAATGGGACCCTTGTGCACTTTGGCGTCGAGTTCGTCGAGGACGGGGTCAAGCAGCTGTGCAACTTTACGCTTAATGGAGCCAAGGCAACAGCTGAGGGGAAGCCGATAGGTGAAGCTCATTCTCATAATGTCAAAAACCCAAAATATCGAACGACTCTTTAAAGTTCCAAAGTTCACCCCCTCAACTCCTGGATCAATCCCACATCGCCGCCTTGTTTTAGCATGCCTTTACGATGGGAAAGAGATCGAGGTGGGCGGCCAGGTGATGGTCGGCCGGGAGGGCAAGAAGTGCGTCATCAAGGACAAGAAATGCCAACTGATCGACATGACCAAGGATGAGGTGGAGAAGTACATGGCGGGGAGGGGGAAGGTAGGGGACTTCCAAAAAATGGGCAAGACCAAAAATCTAGGAGACTTCTTTTGTGGCCCAGCGCTCGGGGCGTGTCCGTGGTCCCAGGATGAAGCCGAAGGTGTTGAAGCCGGTGAAGAAAGATGGTGGTGTTGCAGGATTTTCTGATGTTGGGGATAAAGGTGAGGCTCAGAACTAACGGAATTTTGTGTAATTGTAGTGGTATATACAGAAATTATGCAAAAAAAACAAACAAAAAACCCCAGGATCCCGACATTCAAAATCCTGACAGCCAAAATCCCGACAGAAAAAGTCGGTATTTTGGCCTGTCGGGATTTTCGCTGTCGGGATTTTGAATGCCCTGCTTATGACCGGAATTCAAAAAATTTAGCTTGATGATTATTAGCGTGAAGAATTTGGATGTAGTGTATTACTACGTATCGGATTTTTGGTATAGCCTTAAAAGACCATTTTCTTAGATCCTGAAGACCCAACGACGACAACCGCGAAGCCGACAACCACTACGACCACGACGACAACGACTACGACGACAACGACAAAGGCGACTACCACGACCCCCACAACGACAACTTCGACTACGACCACAACAACAGCTGCCCCGACGACTACCAAGGCACCGGCTGCACTCCCAGCGATGGATACAGCCCGCGACGATCCGGTAGATCACGTCGAGGCAAGTAAGCCAGAGAACAACTCCACTAACCCACTACCACTCACTCGCAGCCTCCTAACCGATAGTGACAAACATAAGCGTATTGAGACCTTGAGCTCGAAGGAAATTCAAGAGCAGCTGACTGCTTGGGAGGGCCCCGGGGGTCAAGCCGGGATCGGATCGGCCGAGCAGAGAATGGAAAAAGAGAAAGGAGTGGATGGAGCTCCGAATGCTGGGGCTGGAAAAGTAGAAGGCCCATCGGGAATTGCGGGTATTGGGGCGGATGCTGGGAAAGCTGATGAGGCCGCTGGGGATCTGAAGAGCGCGGAAAACAAGCATTTGAAGGAAGCTAAACCTCAGGGTCTAGCTGGTATCGGCGCGGATTCTGACATTAAGGCACTAAATTCCCCACCAGAACTGCGGCCAGTGTCTTCTAACTTTGTGCCTGAGGCTGCGAAGGGTGAAGCGCAAATCGGGGAGGATTCAAAGGCCGTGCCGAAGCCGGAAGGTGCGGCAGGGATTGGAAAGGACGGCATTGAAACTCAGCCGGCGACTGGGGAAGCCAAGACCGGGAAATCGGACGACAAGCTTCCGGGAGCAGGCGGATTTGCCGGAATCGGGGCTGATGAAGATCAAAAGAAGGACGCAGGGCGAAGTGCCCATCAGGTTCTGCAAACGCAGACGTTCGAAAAGCCGGCCGGGGAAGCAAAGCCTGGCCAAGATGGAGAGAAGCTTCCGGGAGCCGGTGGACTCGCCGGAATTGGGACGGAGGCAGATAAACATCATAAAAATGTAGATTCAGTTGTGAATTCCGCTGAAAAGGGCCAAGCTGTCGTTCAGCAGCACCAAACCGATGATCATCAAGCTCAGAAAGTTCAGGAGCTCGCAAAACCAACTGGGGAAGCACAGTCTGGCCCCGACGGCGAAAAGCCACCTGGCCCTAATGGAGTTGCTGGAATCGGGGCGGGCAGCGCGCAACAAAAGGAGATCGAAGCCACGGTGAAATCCGTCGAGCCGGTGGGTCAACAAGTTCAGCAAGTTCAACAGATCGAAAAGGCTGCCGGGGAAGCAAAGGACGGAGAGAAGCTTCCGCTAGCCAGTGGAGTAGCCGGAATCGAAGCAGACCGGAACGAGACCAAAGAGCCAAAACCAGAACAGAAGTCAGAAGCCAGCCAACGACCCCTTGCTGAGCAGGATCCAGGTGTACCGGAGAAAAGCATTCCAGAAAACCGCGCTCCCGGAGAGATTAAGCCCGATCAGGCGCAGGATAAGCTTTCCGGACTTGGAGGAGATGCTGGCATCGGAACCGATAAGGAGCAGAAGGCTGTACCTCATCCTAAGCATAAGCCTGCGGAAATTCCGATTGTCACAGTTGAGCAACAACGACCACCTGGTGCTCAGGGCACTGGACTTCCGAAACAGCAAGAAGCTGAGCAGACAGTCGGTGATACCAAGCCTGGCCAGTTTGAAGATAAACCTGCTATGCCCAAAGTACTTGCCGGAGTTGGGGCTGGTGAAAACCAAAAGAATGAGCAGAACGACAAGGTGCCTGAGGCGCTTTCTAGCCTGAACGTTGAGCAGAAGGACACCGGACACGCCGTTCCGGAAGCTAATCCTGAAAGATCTCAAGATAAGCTTCCTGGGCCGAATGGACTGGCCGGAATTGGGGCTGACAACGAGCATCCCGATTCGAAGCCAGATCAAGAAGGCAAACCTGAACAAAGCCAAGATAGGCCGCCGGTAGCTCAAGGCATTTCTGGAATCGAATCGTCGGATGAACGACAGCCAGGCGAGCCACAGCCTGGAAATCAAGTACCAGTAGCTTCACCCACCCCAAAAGCCCTTGTCGACCCCGCGCAGCCCAATCAGCCAGGAAATGACAGTCCAATCGAATCGAAATCAGATAAGGGCCCGGGCAATTTCCTGAATCCCGATGTAATCCCGCCGAACCCGGATCACCTTAAGCCCAAGCCTGCTGGTGGCGAAGCGGGAATTGTCAAAGAACAGAAGGAGCTAAAGCTTCCGATTGACAAAGAAGAAGCACAACAAAAGCCAAATGAAGTTGCTCAGAAATCGGCAAGTCCTCAAGCAGAGGTTGTAGAACAACAAAACCGCCCGAGCAATACTGAAGGTGGGGTGGATGGCGTTATCAAGCCAGATGAAGGCTGGGAATCCAGTGAGGAGGAAGAGTTCCAGCCGAGTTCTGCAGAACACACAGAACACGTTCATCGAGATCGACCGAATATAGATACCCTAAGTGAGAAGGCCGTTAATTCCGGGTCTAAAGTTCCACCACCTGGAGATCTAGCTCAACCCCTCATCCAGATCGCTTCGGCTTCCGGAAAACACGCTCCAGTCGTCCAAAATTTCGGAGATGTTGTCCGGCCGATCGTTGGATGGGATCCCACTTCTGAGGAAGAGCTTGATGAAATTCAGGCTTCTCTTGCGGCAAAGCAAGCTAAGGAAAAGGCTGATTCCCCAAAGATTGCCACGGGATCTGTAGAACCTGTCAACGTCGCGCAAGCCAACAACCAACCTGCTTCCAATAATCTCGATGTGCCTGCCCAGCGACCTGCAAGTTTGCACTCAATCACCGATGAAGCTCTGGGTCGAGCTCCTGCTGAAATCGTTGTTGAACAAAAGGCACCAGATGCTTCAGAGCCAAGGAAGCTTGTTGGGGACCCACCAATTCCGGTTGACAGGGATCCGAAGGAGAAGCCTGCAGCTGAAGCCCCACAAAACCCAGAACTCAAGGCACGGGCCGGTTGGGACTCAAAAGAAGTAGAGGATCCTGAGTGGCAGTCGGCAGAAGATGAGCAGCATCCTGTGATTCGGCCTACACTTGAGGAGCAGGCACCAAGCCAGGTCGACTCGAAGACATCCGAAGAAGTCCTCGAAGCCAAGCTTCCGGTATCTGAAAGCCAGAAGGAGTCAAATACCCAGCACGAGCCAGCAGCTGTGATAATTCAGCCAAAAGCCGTAAACCAAGGACTTGTCTCTGATCAACTTGTTGTTGTCGACGACCAAGCCGAGCATGACGTTCTGCAACCTGCTACGGGGTGGGACTCGAATGCGGAGCTTGAGGATCAGGTAGTCCGGAGCGGCGATGGAAAACCGGCTGCCGAACATCAACCAGGAAGTGGTTTCGACCAGCCAAAAGAACAAGTGTTGGCCACTGGAGCAGTTCAAGCTCTCGGGGAGGTCGAAAAGGCACATCCGGAAAATCAGAACGCTGATGTGTCTTCGGATAAGGTGTTGGGGCCTGAACAACGACCCGCAGTTGTAATTCCAGTTGTTAGCGAGTCCGCCCAGCAAGAACAAGCCAGAGCTTCTGAGGTCGAGCGTCAGGCTGAAGCTGGGCAGAAGCGGCCAGAAGCTCAAGGGGCCAGCCAGTCAGATACCGTTATTTTGACACCGAACGCCAATCAACAAGTCGACCTAAAGCCTGTAGACTCAGAGGGACCTGGACCCGCTTCAGGAAATCTCACTTCCAAATCTAACACCTTTGAGCAAAAGCAGAACCAGCCCTTGAACCTGCCACCTGTCGAGTCTGGAGGTCCAGGACCAGCTCAGGAAGTTAAACCCGTTGTCCAAACCCAAGAATCCCAGGACGCCGAACTCCGACCACCAACTTCAGATTTAGCCTTACCGCAGGAGCGCCATCAAGCCCACCCTCAACCGCTGCGCGAGAAAATGAGCGTTTCCATCAAGAGCAACGAGGAGAAGGGACCGGCTTCAGAATCGGACGATCGAACCTCCTGGGAGAGCGGCGAGGGACACTCAAGCTCCGCAAGTTCTGAGGAAATCTCGGATGATGCTGTTGGTCCGGTGTTTCCGGTAAAGCCGATCAAGCCAGTGGCGTCAGAAGGCATCACAGAAAAACAGGAGACTCATGGTGAAGTTGCGCACCAAACCGGAAGCCAGGAGAAGAAACCACAGGAGCTCGAGATTAAGCAGGAAAATCAAGCCTTGGCTCATAGACCCGCGAAGGCTGGATTGCAAAAGCAAGCTTCATCAGCTTCTGAAGATTCCGTGGAAGAGGCCATTCCTTCGAAGCCCAAGACTCAAGTCGAGCAGCTTTTGGAGAAGACCCAGAAGGCGGTGGACAGTCTCAGGGTCCAGGTTGAGGCGCAGAAGCTTGAGTCGCAGGCGCCGATTCGAAGCCCGGGGAAGAAGGGGAAAGGGTCGTGGGAGTTTGAGTTCGGATAGTGACAGAGATTCGAAGACACAAGCAGCTATGATCGGAAAACCGGCAGCTGTTCTGAAGCGGGTAATAACTGGTTTTTCAAAGGTGCCTTTCCTTCGGGGGTTTTTCCTTCGGGTTCGGCTTTTACTCTCCTTATACCTTTCCGGGGTCAGCTTTTGATTTTTCCATGCTTGCGAGCTATGCGCTTGTTTAACACGGCTTTTCTGCTTTGAGTTTTTGGATACATATTGACGGCCAAATCACTAATTTCTTCATTTTTAGAAGGATGACATCCTGATCGATAACTCAATCGAATCAATAGAAGCGGAAAAGAAGAATTGCACAGATGTGGCTTGCAATCCATGTGTCGAGTGTGATCCATGCAGGGCACATCGGTAGGGCTTATGAGAGTAATTAGGCTTAGGTTATAAGGGTTCAGATTAACCTTATTGCTAGGCTTAGGCTTAGGCTTAGGCTTAAGTTTCTAAATTCTAGGGCCCATCGGCTACGACCGCCGCCATGCGCCGAACTTGGCATGGACGAGATGAGAGAATATTACGCAATGAAAGCCGCCCGTATGCAAGATGCTCTCGCCGACATTCGAAGACGGGTACGTTTAGCCATAAGCTTTTACCAAAAACTCATGCTCTATCTTTAATTTAACTAATCCATGCCATCCTTCAGATATCTGACCTGTACATGGACCTCCGAGACGCCATCTGCCCATGAGACCCTATTAACAATATTTTTCCAAATAAATACTGTGTTGAAAACCGGAACTTTACAATATTGCACCTGAACGCTTTTCGGAAGCGCAACAACCACGTGACAGCGCTGAACTGTACGCCCATTCAGAACGCCCCTTTTGTGTTCGCCCCTATTTGCCTGCAACAAGTCCCCGGGAGTACGCTTTTTAGGCGTCTGCCAACTATTTGCGCGCTTGCTTTTCCATTCATCACTGGCGAACGGCGCGTGTTAAAGAGAAACGGCAGGAAAATAATAATAGGAATGTAGTACTAGAAACTCCTCCAAATCGGGCACAAAATTATAAACTTCAACGCGAATATTGGTTTAGCAAGATTCGTCCCTTTACTCCCCCAAAAATCTGACCCAAATAAACTGCAAAAAATCGCCCAAAAAACAGCAAAAAGCCTACGACACCCGGGATTCCCAAGCCGTCTCCGATCCAAGTACTAACCGAGCCCAACGTTGCTTAACTTGGCAGATCGGACGGGATGCCGTGCTTTCAACGTGGTATGGTCGTAGGCGAAAGAGGTCAGGAATCGACTGTTGATGAGAGATAGCTACGACTTGCAGTTGGAGTCATAGAAGCATGGAAGTAATTGTCTCTCATCAGTAGCTCTAACCCTCCTCCTTTCGCCTACGACCATACCACGTTGAAAGCACGGCATCCCGTCCGATCTGCCAAGTTAAGCAACGTTGGGCTCGGTTAGTACTTGGATCGGAGACGGCTTGGGAATCCCGAGTGTCGTAGGCTTTTTGCTGTTTTTTTTCGAATCGCTACTATTCAACAGTCGCCCCAGACGGCTTCTCATTTTTGCTAATCCTCTGTTATGACCCGGCACCGCCGCAATTCCGATCCAAACGTCATCGTGTGGATGCGTCAGCTGCGAGAATATCCATTGCATCCCCGAGGTCCCGTCTGTATCGGATTTCGGGCGACAGCGATACAGGCAGGGGCCGGACAACCATCTTCACGGACAGACGGACAGACAAACAGATCTGGTATTAGAGATCGACAGACAGACAAAACAGAAAGAACACTCCATCCGCCAACATCCGGCTCCACGGCAAGGCGATGGGAACGACGGCGGGCAGGTGTTGAGGAGGGCAAGGTGCGTAATGGGTAAAAAAGTGTCGGATTCTGGTTTTCTTGGAGTTCAGAGGAAAATGGTCTGTTTAAGGCGTACATTCCTGAAGGATTTCTGCTAGCCGGCCGACTGCCAACCTCTTGTGGACGAGTTGCAGCAAAAACCAGCACCCTTGTTGATCTACGACGCCCTCCTAGGTTGGCATCAGCACTTTTGTGCGCCGGCTCAAAGGAACGTCCACTTTTTTGTGCACTTTTGGGCCAGCATGTGAAAGAATGGAATGATGGCCCATTGATGGTAGGGTAAGCTAGTCAAGGCGCGTAGGTTAGGTAAATAATGAGCTAACGTTCCCTCTACCGGTTGTAGGGGTAAAAATGCTGTGGGAAACATTAAATAACTTTTCGCCAGCTCTGACTTATGGTATCTTACCTTTCCTTACATGACATCGACACCGAAATTGATACCAATGACGATAGGAGTAGTGATGCGTCTGTGATTCCCTGGAAATTTAATTTGTTCAGCCCACTTTAACATTCCTATGCGTGGATTTAAGCTTAGAAAAGGCTTATGCTCAGACCTAGCGAGCTTATGCTTCATCACTTTAATTACTTGAGGTATTGGCCCTAAATTTTGCATTTTCTGACAAAAGAAATAACTACAGAAATCTAACTACTGATTACAATATCGCTAAAGATTTAGATATACTTTTGTTATCACCTGGAAAGTCACTTGAACTTTTCATACAAATATTCTGCCCCTCCTACCTCCACAGCCTATTAAAAAAGTATACCAACAAACCCCCAACCACCCGACAACATTCTGGCAAATATGCACGTCAAATTCCCGCCATATTTTTTTCGCACCCCACCCGAGAACGCCCCCGCGCCAAGACAATAGCTCGCAACTTTTTTCTCTTGGCTGTGTCTACCCTTGTTGAGGGTTGAACGACGAGAAGCCTTCGAGAATTGTCGGCGGAGAACCCGGTATTCCGTGGGAGAGAGCCGGCCGGAAAAAGGCGAAGAAGAATGGCCTGTGAATTGGCATGGGAAAGGGGGTGGCCCCGGCTGGCCCCCTGTGGCCTCTACCGCGACTGCTTCTCTCTCCGCTTCCGCGGCTGCCATATAAAAGGCTCCGAGGGGGCGTCTTCAATTCCCTCGGCCGTGCCATCGGCTGCTAACGGTCTTTTGGACCAAATTACTGGCTAGCCGGTTATTACCTTACTTAAACGCATTATTACCTACCCATTTACCAGTTACCTTCAACGTTTGATTATTACTCGTATTATTCCAAAAAGTTTGAATTTGCCGACGCCATTTCTGTACCTTCCCAGATTTTCTACAGCCTTTGTTCAAAGATTCGTTGAAGTTCCGAAGCTGTCCGAAGCTTAAGTCCTAAGCTTACCTCTAAATTTCTAAAAATGCTTGCTTTATTGAAGTCCCTACTAGATCTAATACCACTTCATCGAATTTAGCTTTAGTTTCTTAAATAGAAGCTGAATTAGAACTTTTCAGGGTGTTGCAAGGCATCAATACTTCTGTAACTCGTTGCAACATTACTGGAATAGGGACAGTTTTTAAAGATTCATTAATTTACTACCTTCATCCGTTATTTTTTTGCCAAGCGTATAAAACGCAATCGGTACATTTTTCGAATTTCCAGGTTTTCACTGTACGTTATAGATATTATGTTGCTCCCCGCGTCTGCTTTAAAAATAAACCAGCACTTTCTTGGAGATCTTAACGAAAATCCATACTAATTTTGATGAAGTTTATAACCTTTCGATATTTTTTAGATGCGCAATTGGGGTTTAACCGTCGGGCTTCTGGCGCTGGTCTTCGCTTGCTCGGTGGGTTTTTGTCCTCGGGGGAAGTTGTATTTTAGCCGTTTAGGTCGAAAGTTACCAACAAGACTGGTTGGCTGGAGCCCCGGTCGTTTTGAGGAGTAAACGACAACAGTGCAGATGCGTACGCCTTGATTATGCCAATAACGTGCAGTGCAGCTGCCCGCAAGCTACGGCAACAGTGAGCCTTAAAAAATCACGTTCTCTGATTGCTAGGATACCTTAACGATATTTTGGTAATAGATCGGGCCCGTAATGTCCACTCGCTTAGACAGCCAGCGGGCCCCTTTAAGCATTCTCAACCAAAAAAGTAGCGCGTCAGGTTGACGGTGAATGGCCGACAAGCCGGATAGTCACCGGGGAGTTGTTTGCGATGGGCCGGTGTCCGAATTGGAAGCCGACACCGCCTAGGGACCGCTTGTCCCACCAATGGCAACACGGCTTAACAAACAATCCGCCCCGCCGTAAAGTCATTGCCCGCGTTGGGTCATTGTTTAGGGCCCCATTGGGCGTGAGAAAGGGCGGTACCTGCAAATAACGCTAAAAAATTTAATTTTCATTGATAAACTGGTAAAATAACTTGGGGCTAAAGCTAAGGCTCTAAAAAAGTTATAAATGAAATAGAAAAATAATAATAATAATAGAAAAAGCTCACTCGCACGAGTAAAAACCCCAATTAAATGTGTTGCTAACTACAGAATTTCGCTGGAGAGACTTTTAACGCCTCGTTATGACGTTACGTTACTAGGAATTTAGGAAATGTTAGGTTATTACGTTCTTAGGACGAATATCTAGCTAAGAATTTATGTAGGTATTTTTATTTTATCGACTCCCTAGCCTAAACCTAAAAATATAACATTTATAAAACTGATTAAAGCTGAAAAATTATTAAAAATTTAGGCAGCACCAGATGCGACCAGCCAAAAAGATGAGCTCGCCACCGAGCTGTCGCAATCATACCCAGCAGCAAAGTAAGCCATTGCCATCTAAATCTTTTGCAAAAAATCCTTCAGCGGACAATTCTCTCCTCTATCGTAAGTCTGTCCACTCTAAATTCAACCAATCCCTTCTATGTATTTCCCGTTTTAATTTCCGCCCCGCATGCCGGGTTCTGTCCCTGGGCATCCCTGCATCAGGGATTTTTTTTTAGTTTAATATTTCTTTAGGTGTGCCTGCATACAAATCGTCTTTGCCGGCACGCCACAATATCAATGCCATTGTGGGGAGAGCGGTACTGTCACGGTTCCGGTGGGTGGGGTTAACATTGAGACGTGGTTCAGTGTTTTAGTATTGAAGTTCTAGTTTGCACCACACCATTGAAATGAAGATGTTCTAAGCGTGCACTTGTAGTCATAGACGTGTAGTCATATCATAGTGCCGAAAGCCGTGGTTGGCTCCATTTTGCACCCATAGGCCACAACGACGCCAGCCACAACCACAACACCCACCACCACATCCACCACTACGACCACTACCACAACCACTACTACCACCACCACCACCACCACAACTGTATGAATCCTGAGGGATCATCGAAGTATTTCCAGACGACTACCACCACGACCACGACAACAACTACGACAACGACCACGACAACGACAACCACTACCACGACGACCGAGCTCACGCCACCCCCAGAGACAACGACTATCAACACCACACCGGCTTATATCACGGTGAGTATTAAAGAGGTTTCATTACGTACAATTCAGACCGAAACCCCCGGAAATGGTCAATGTCACTGCATCATGATTACCATCACTGGTCCGGCCTCCGCACAATATCAGTGCAGCTGCTTGTCAACCCCAGCAACCCCTGTATGTATCTGGCTTAAATCTTGATTAAATCCTTACGAAAAACCATTAAATCATCAAAGTAGAAAAAAAAACGGTACAAATTAAAAAGCAACTCAAATTTGGATCTTATTCTAGGCTGCTGAACCGCCGATGACTACACAAGCTGCAATCACTTACCCGCCGCAGACGGCCATCCCGGATACCTTACCACCGGCCACGCAACCCAGCACGGTAATTTAGTAGCAAACAGCCTAGTTAAAGCTTCAAAAAATTAATTACGTACCTAAGGCCAACTACTACTAACTTACCAAACATTGAAAAGTAAAGGCTATTAGGTTACCCTATTAATCAAATAATTTTCTTTTTTTGCCTCGACTACCAAAATGAAAAAATTTAGGCGCTCCCTACTGTTATTCCAACATTCAGCACAGAGACCTTGCCGGTAATCGAAATTTATGAAAAATAAAACTAAAATTTTAGCCTCTAACCTCGACCATACAGACCACGCAGCCAACTACTACTGCTGCCCCGACCCGTAGGATTATACATTACCAAAAACTACTTCAAAAACTTTAGCTGCCCAAGATGTAATCACTACGGCGCCCACATATCCTCTCACGACAACATGTGTTATGTATCTGACTGGCGTTCAGGTAAAAAAACAGTTACCGACGCTATAAAACTTATCTAGTCATCCCCGTGCACATGTATGCCAGAATACGACCCATGTGCACCGAATATCTGCTGTCTCAAGGCCAAATTCAGGTCGCTGAAGGTAAAAAAACCTAAAAATTCTCTGGAATATCCTTCTTTTTTAGCACAGCAAATTGGCCGCCTCGCTGCCAATCCATCCCCAACAGCCTTCGCAAGAAGACCAGTCATCCACCATCGACGTGTTGATGAACGTGCTGCAAAAGATCAAAACCAAATGGCAGAGCAGCTGAAAAACCGCTTCTAAATAGCCACCATTTCAAATTGTGCCTAATTTATAGCCTTCTCCACTTTCTTCGCCACGCAGTATTACGTATTTATGGAAGTTGTGGGTAGCTGTTGCCGCAAAGTATTTCTTTCCAACGCCATATCACATGTTTTTGCCTTTTTTTCACAATAAAGTGTTTTGCCCGTCGACTCGCCTAAAAAGCACCCCAGCTACAGTAGCCCATGCTCCGCAGAGCATTAGGCCATCTTTTTGTGCTTCTCCGCCCTCTCGCTTCCCGCCAAACTTTTGTCGTTTTCTGTTCGTCTGCGCTCTCTGTGATATCGATTTATTGATCCGCTTACGTCAGGAAATCGATGCAGCACGCGTCGCGGTTGCGCCCCATTTCGCGCCCTTTTCAACCCCGTTCCGTTCCAAAATAATTACGAAAAATCGCGGCAGAACCAAAATTGAAAGTTGACGATGATCCACCAGCACTTCAATCGTCATTTGATTTTTATGATCCTTCTCTGACTTTGGCAGCTCTTCAAGTATCATTTACTTTTTGTGGTCCGTTTATGACTTTATGCCTTCTTTGTTTTTCTTTGCCCTTCCCCTACCCATATTCTTCTCACCCATCGCCTTTTCAATTATTGTTGCCCGAATCAAATGCACACTTATAATTCCTTTTTCAGATGGCCGGCATCGCAATGAACCGGCTCTGCGAGGAGCGCAAGGCCTGGCGGAAGGACCACCCATTCGGCTTCATCGCAAAACCCGTCAAGAACCCGGACGGCTCCCTCAACCTCTACCAGTGGGAATGCGCCATCCCCGGAAAGAAAGGATCAATTTGGGAGAATGGACTTTATAAGGTACTTTTTTTTATAATATTGGGTTTTATCGGGCTGTCGTGGTTTGCTGTACTTAAAGCCTTCGGGACTTTTTTTCCTTCCCGCTGGGGGGAGACGGTTTGGTGTTTCTATTTTTTTTCAGTTGAGGATGACATTCAAGGACGACTACCCTTCCACACCACCGAAGTGCAAATTCGAGCCGCCGCTCTTCCACCCAAACGTCTACCCGTCCGGCACCGTTTGCCTCTCATTACTCGACGAAAACAAGGACTGGAAGCCTTCGATCACAATCAAGCAGCTGCTGGTCGGCATCCAGGACCTCCTCACAAACCCGAACCCCGATGACCCGGCACAGGCCGAGGCCTACCAGATCTACTGCCAGAACCGGTACAATTTTTTTCCGCTTTCGTTCATATCAGTTTTAGGGTGGAATACGAGAAGCGCGTGCGCCGTGAAGCCCAACGTTACAACGCCGAGGTCGTCCAGCGGCAGATGCTCGGCGCCTGAACAAACGATCTCGAAAAATATTTATGTGGTTGGCTCGAACTGTATTTTCGCTTTGATTCCCCTCTAAATCTTCGCCCTACTACTTTTCCATGTTCTCGCGACCCTATTTACGTGTTCACTGTTTACCCGTGTATTTTTGTTAATGAAGCATTCTATCGTACGCTGGTCCCCGGGTCTAAATACACACTTATGGCAGAAGGCGGGGGTAGTCTTTGACAGAGTTGATGAGTGGGAATGACTTTAGTGCTTCTTCGCTTGTTTTAGCTTGACAGATGTTGCGATTCCGGGCCGGTACTTTGCGCAGTGCGGTCTATGCACTATCTGCAATCATTTTCCTTGAAGGGAACGACTGCAAAGCAAACTTGCAGAAAGCCTTTACAAATCTCCGTTATGTTCGATGCCTATTCGATCGGAGAGGTTGGAAGAAGCCTAAAGGTTGAGCTATGCTCGATCCGCAGCCAAAGTAAGGCGTCAAGTCCCAAAAAAATACTTGAAAACGCTTTTTTAGAGACATCGCAAGATGTTCTGGCCAGTTGCAAGGAAGGACATTTGCTGATATTTGGCAGGACCGGTGAGAAATTTTTGAACTGAAATTTTAGCTCTTTTAGCTTCACGGTTCCGGTTCGACTTCAAGCATATGCGTCGGAATTTCGAGCGGAAACCGGTGGTTGAAATGGCCATCGTCGAAACAATGCAGCTTCTATTTTGTATGAGTGATCAACAGGTTTACCACTTTTTGGGAATCAAAATCTTTTAGTTATCCGTGCACCAATTCGACACAGACACGATGTACCCGCTGATCGCGCAATTAAAGCTGAAGCCCATCCATACGTTTGCAGTTCATCAAAATACGGTATGAACTTGTAACTGCTATATATTTCCTTTTAGGACGATGCTAGCGTGAAAGTAGCTGTTGCTGTCAAACGACGAATACATGTCTTCAAGGTACACCGCGTCATCTTATTGAGCCATTTTTTTTAGTTCTTCCAAAACGATTTTGTCGAAGTTTTGCTTGATGGGTCGCCATTCCTCGAGTTGAAGGACAACCCCGCCAATCTTACTTGGTAGTACATTTTAGCAAGCCCTAACCTAATTTAGGTGTGGCCTGTCGCTAGCCTACTCTCTCCGGAACGAGTACCACGTAACTGATCTGCGGCCAAATGAAGAGTTCAAGGCACTTTGACAAAAACCCGATTTTAAAGTTTTCAGGATTGTAAATGCACCACTCGGGCGGTGATGAGCTTTCTCGACACGCCAATTATTACGTATTTAGAAGATCGAGCGATGATTGGTTTTGCAGCTGGTGAGTTTCCGCGATTTTGCAATAAATTTATAACTGTAGGTAAAAACTTTGTAACGGTCCCGGTCGATGCGGAAGCGAAAACCCGAAAGGATGTGCGCTTTTCGGAGGCGTTGCTCAACCTAGGTAGGTACAGAGACACATAAATATACGATAATTTTAGTGTGGGACCCGCCATTTGTCGTGGGTTTACTGCCGAAAGGGCTGGTCGAAATTCGGACCTACGACTCGCCACAGCTCATCCAATCATTTACCCTCAAGCAGGCACACTTGTTGACAAATGCCGTGCCGTAAGTTATAGAAATTGAGATGGGACTAAAATCAGCCATGATCCAATTAACAAAAACCTTCAAAATTTCAGTGGTTGTGTCGTCGTTGGTAGCCTCTGTGATATTTGGATGCTGGATTGCCACGAAAATCTGCGTAACAATGTCAGCAGCCTGATCAAAGATGCGCGGTACCCATTGGCGATACAATTGGCCGTAAGGAATCGTCTGAATATGTTAAAAGCCATTAGGACCAATTCGCCATCTTTACCGACGACCAGAAAAAGGAGATCAAGCGCCAATATGCTACTTATTTGTTCTCGACGGCCGAATACGATGGGTGCTATGCGGTGTTTTCTGATATTGGGAGCGGTAAGTCATGAAAAAGCTCAGCAAAAAATTTTGTCAGACATTGGTCCCGCGATCCAGCTGATCCCCGAGTTGCTCCCGCCGAAAGTTGTAAGTCGCGAAAACGCGAATATAAATACGCAAAATTTCTTTCAGCAACAACTCTCCCCAACCCCACAAAAGGAACTCCCCGAAAATGAGAAGAAACGGGCGATCCAAGCACTTTCCGTTTATCTGGCAAAGGTGGGTGACCGGAAATAGCGGCGAGTAGAATTTAGGTACGCACGGATTTGGCGCGCAGCTTGGAGCAACACCAACAAGCGAAACATATGAACGTTCCGGAGGGTAGGGCTTACATTATTTTTTCTAGACTTCTCGAGGTTTCAGGAAGACTTTCAAAAGAAGAGCACGAAGCTGCCAAAGCCAACTTGCAAATTGTCGATACCACGCTCTTGAAATGCTATATCCGAGTAAGTTTTGATTTAGCTTTTCTAAAAAACTGAATTTCTGTAGACAAAGCCGATGATGGTCGATTCACTGTTGCGACTCCGAGACAACGCTTGCTGGTTTCCGGATGCGGAGGATATCATTAAGGTATAAACCCATTTGATCCTAAATTTTTAAACTTTTAGAAATCCGGACGTAATTCTTCGCTTTTTGTGTTGTACGAAACGAGAAGGAAACATGAAATGGGTAATTTTGCGCGATTTTCCGTATAAAAAATCTTTTAGCGCTCGAACTGCTCAAAGGCGAATCGTTGAGGCCGGATTGCGATGCGTATTTTGCGGGGCCTTACAAGTAACTTTAGTTAACTTTTTGAAATTTATTGATAGGACGGTCGAGTACCTACAAACGCTCGGCAACAACGAGATTGATCTGATCTTCAAGTACTCGAAATGGGTGCTTGATGCCGATGTGGAGGAGGGACTGGCGGTAAGTGTTTGCACTATATTCTGTAGTTTTGGGGCTTCTAGATATTTACATCACCCGATTCTGACCTGGCCAGCAACCTCGATCGAGAGAAGGTCGTGGATTTTCTGCAAAAAGATTGCGTGGCTGCGCTGATCCCATATTTAGTGAGTTTTCGGAATTTTCAGAAGTGGATTGAATTCGTTTCGCGTTTAGAAGGCTCTTAAAATACGTTTAAACTTTCAGGAGCACATAATCTCCGCCTGGGGCGAGCAGCGACCAAAATTTCACGAATGCCTCGCCGAGCACTACGTGGCTAAAGTTAAATCACTACATAAGGATTACGTGCACGCGTTTCCTGATGGTAAATTATATTCAAAACTTAATTATTTAGGTATATTTTAAAATTGAAGTGAATTGAGGTATATTTCAAATTTAAACGTTTTTATTCTAGACGAAACGATAATCCGGGCGGGTACTGAGGACGGGGAACTCGGCGAGTATAGGCGAAAGCTGCTGAAATTCTTGGAGAACAGTCGCTCTTATTCGCCACAAACGGTGTTGGTCCAGCTTAGCAATCAAGGTAAGTTTTAAATTTAAGTTAGAGCTTTTACCTCCACCTTGTAGCATTCTACGAGGAACGCGCACTAATGTTAGGACGACTCGGGCAGCACGAGCAAGCCCTCACGATCTACACCTCAATTTTGCACGACTACGAGGCGGCCGAGAAGTACTGTGCACTGCACTATAACCAGAAAACCGGACCTCAGGTAAGCTCATTTTTATTTTTTTCAATTGCGCTTATTCCAGATCTATCTCCAACTCTTCGAGGCTTTTGTATCGCCAAAGGATCCGCAGGTGGGATTAAAATGAAGAAAAAATGGATCGGCTATATTTTCTTGCTTTAAAGCCGCTATTTTTCTTGTTATTGGCCGTTAATAAAAAGCATATGAAAATGCAAAATCTATAGAACACATCAATCTTTTGAAGATTGCCGGGTTGAGCGAGCGCCAAATCCCTATCCCGGAACCAAATGTGAAGCAGGCGATTCGGATCCTGAGCCGTCATGCCGATAAAATTGATACAGGTTAGTAGAAAAGATGAGAAAGAGACAAAGCTACAAAAATAGTGGCTGCTCTCCGAATAATTCCGGATTCAACGCCGCTTCAACTTCTCTCCATGGCCATTAGTGCGGTGATACAAGCGACGCATGACGAGGCGACGAAAGTACGTCCAGAGTTATAAAACAAAATTAAACCATGTTATAGAAGGGAAATAAAGGCAAAAATAACGCCGTTTCAGAGCTCCATTAGACGTCGTATGTGCGAATGCGCACGGGCCGTCACTGAGGAGAAGCTGCGCAAGGTGGCAGGGCTGAAGGTTGACGTCAACAATATGACAGAATGCGCGCTGTGCAATAAGAAGATTGGGAATAGGTATGAAAGGTGCTTTTCTGACTTCAAAAATTGAGTTTTTATTGGTATCTCTTAAACCTTAAAAGTTATGAACCTAAAAAAAACTGGATTTTTAGCGCCCTCGTCCGTGACCCTCAAAGCCAAAACCTCATGCACGTCTTCTGCTACGAAAATTCAATCGAAGCCGCAACAATGCAATAGCCTACGGGTCTAACTTTTATGTACATCTACTGCCTCGACACGGTTACTGCCATATGTGATTCTGTGATGATGATAATAAAGTTTTATGAGCTTTTCTATCATCTATTGGCACCCCAGGCCCCTTTCAGCTTCATGTCCTGCTCGCGGATGGGTTGCGAGGGCATCATTTTGAGGAGCTGATCGATCGCCTGGAATTCGGTAACGTTTGTATGTATATATACCTTAAACTTAATTATTTTTAAGCTAAAAATAATATTTTTTGGGACCTACGTTTGCGAAAACGATCCGGTCAGTTTCCCGATAGTCCGGCACGACCCTCATTCCACCATCCGACGGCTTTCCAATGTTAAAGTGCGACACCGTCTTGGACATTGCTGGCCAACTATCATCAAGGGTTGGGCGGCTAAGATAGTTTAATTTAGTAGATTTTAATTTTATCAACACGAACCTGTACTTGGCGAAATTGGTCCACGTCTCCCCGTACCAATCCCCCAGCTGGAAGTCGAAAGGGTCGGTGAGGTTTCGGGAGATGGCCGTCTCCCAATCGCCCTCGTACATCCAGATGAAGGGCAGCTCGGCGGAGTGGGGGACGGCTAAATGGATATTTGGTCCTTTTCAGGGTTGTTCGCGGACGGACGCGGACGCGTCCCGGTCCCCTCATTTACATAAATTTCTGCGTACGGACGGGGAAGCGTCCCGGACGGACGGGACGGACGGCGGACGCCGGAAGTAACTGCGTCCGCGATGCAAATGAGAAAAACAGATTCAAATCATAATGAAGCGCCTAGTTTTTCATTTTTGGACGTAAAACCTCTGGTAGGGTCTGGTTTTTAGCATGTATACTTGTACATGGTAACCTACTGTCCAATAAAATCAAATTTACCGCAAAACCTGCAAAATTATTGCGACTTTTCTGGTTTTCATTTTAAGATTACCATGAATTAATTTGCATCTCGGACGGGCGGACGCTCCCCGTCCCCGTCCGCCAGGCGTCCGTCCCGTCCGTCCGGGACGCGTCCGCGTCCGTCCGCAAAATTTTATGCTAATGAGACGGACGCGGACGGACGCGGACCGGACGCAAAATGGGCAACCCGTATTTAACGCCCCTTCACGCCCTTTCGCGCCCTCCTGTATTTCGCGCCCCCTGTAAATAACGCCCCCTGTATTTAACGCCCTTCTGTATTTAACGCCCTCCAAATGACCACGAAAAGGGCGTTATTTACAGGAAAAAGCTCGTTTTGCAGGGCGTTATTTACAGGAGAGCGTTAAATACAGGGGGCGCCAAATACAGGGGGCGTTATTTACAGGAGGGCGTGAAGGGGCGGGAAAGGGCGTTAAATACGGGTTGCCCGCAAAATGAACAACCCTGGTCCTTTTGCATTATCGGGGGGGGGCAGGGTATTTTTCCTGTGAGATCAAAGATGCCTAATCAAGTAAGGGTAAGTGTTTCAATAGTTTTTAGAAAAATGTAACTATATTTCAGGTAGAAAAATGATCGAAACAGCATAGAAAATTTCCAAATTTCGGTCGACAAATCTATTTTTTTTTCTGGTAAAAATGTGTAATATTACCCCCCGCCCCCGATAACGTGAAAGCACCAAATGCTGACAAAATAGTTACTATATCGTTATTGGCATTGCATTGCCAAAGCACGTTTTTGTCTCCGCTAGTGATCCAGAATCTCATTTTCTAGACCGGAAACCGTATAATGCACTTCACCACTATCGTCTTGACTCAACAAATACCACATCCACACCCGGCCCTTCGACCCCAAAAGTGGGGGGCGCAGCGCTCTTTCGCCCATGGGCGCGGACAAGGCCGATTATGCGGGCCGGGGGCGTGGCCTCGGCTGGCCGGCTCTCTGGAGGGGTGCGAGGCCGGCCTGGCCTAGGCCATCCCCCACCCCGACCCACACACCATATCGATCGTTTTACGCTAGCTTGCTTACAAGCTGTAAGCAGTTGTGCTCGCTTAAAATAAGCTCAAAACTACGAGCAACACCTTTATGTCGGTTACCTGTAGCTGGAAAATTTTTGTAATTTGAGTATCCCGCGTGGTTTTCAATAGTTTCACTTCGAAAATTGCTGAAAACTCCGAAAAGTTCCAATTTTTGTAAATATTTTTTGTTTTGTTTTTTCTTTATTTTTTTTTCGTGAATTTGCCGCCACTTTTCAAAGAAAAGCCGTTTTCGTACGGTACTGATGTGGTATAATTTTCAGGTGATTTCCTACTAACCCCAATGTCCGAAACGCCAAACGGAAGCGAAAATGATTTGTAGGCTTTTTCGCCCCAATTCTGGAAGTTTCTTGTAGCATACAATTTCTAAAGCAATTTTTAAGCTCCAATTACCAGCAAGATGAGGCCCAATTTTCGAATGAAGGCGCGGAACCGACGGCGAAACGCACGAAACTGAGCCAAGCATCGGGAATTTGGGCGTATGTCGAATTGTCCTTTTTTGTAAGCTTAAATTTAGTGCATTTACACGCGTCGACATGCGGAATGTCTGCGACTTTTGCGGGCAGTCCTTCAGCGCCAGCTCCACGCGAAACGCTTGGACCCATATGAAGAATGTGGGCTTTAGTCGGGCTTTCATGATGTGGTATTTTTAGCGCCATCCCGACCTCTACGCCGAGCTACTCGCCCGAAAGCCGGAGAAGCCTGAAGCTCCGGCCCGAGCGCCCGTGCCCATCCCTCGAGCTGCCCCCAGCTATTCTGATCAACAACTGTGGATGGGCTTGGCGTCGATCAACGTGATGCCGGATGCTTTCTTGGAAAACCAGTTTTTCCAAACCTGGGCAATGCAGAATGGGGTTCGTTTTGATATCTAGAAGTTTGAAATGGATAGCTTAATTGTTTAAATTGGTTCAGGATTTTAATAAGCAATCACTTGTGACTATTTATAGAAGAGATCGGCACTTTAGGTTCGCCTTCCATCCGCCGAGATACTTGACCAGGTTGCTGAAGAAGTACGAACAGATCGACTACCCGAACTGATCCATCGGCTTGCAATGGCCCAATCTGTGGCATTGACGATGGGTAAGCTACGATTTAATCAAGGTAATGGCTGAATTTTTCTGACTAAATTTTGTCTAGATTCGGCTCTAAAGGCTATTATGGCGCATTTCCTACAGAACGGGGAGCGCCGAGTTCTGCTCCTTCGCCTGTTGGATCAAAATCTGGTCGAGAGCACGGAAGGTGTCGTTCAGGGGATAATTCAAGAGCACGGTCTCATGGGAAAGGTATGGAAATTTACCTTGATAATTCTATATCGAGGGAATTAGGTTTGTGCGATCGTCACTGACGGAGATACAGCTGTTTCTGAGGATGTGTCCCTTCCGAGGTATGCAAATCATAATAATTCTCACAAATCCATTTATTTTAGAGTAATCTGCGGGGTACAGATTCTTTGCACTGCCGTTGGGAAATTGTTGGAACCGCTCTCCGGGCTAATTAACAAAGTTGGCAATTTGGGCCTATGGAATGATGATCCAGAAAATAATCAAAATTGGTAGGGTTCGGAGCTCGATTCTTATTTTATTTTAGCCCTACTTCGAGGCCAGAGAGCAAGCAGCACTGGCTAATTTGCTACAACATGCTGCGAAAATTCCTGGCACAGGTTTGTGGCGCAGAATTTTTGGGAAAATTGATTTAGATTAGCGAGGACCGTAAGTCCGAAATATCCTTCGATGAAATCGAAGCTTTGAAAGATCTTGTCAAAACGCTTGAAAGTGCCGAGTCTATGGTGCAGAAGGTACATCGATGAAAGTTGCGTAAAATAACAATTCTTCTCCAGTTCTCATCACCGAAAAATTCGCTCGTTCTCAGGGCTCGACTTTGGATGGCCGGAATTCGCGGATTGGAGATATTGTAGGTTTACAAAATCGTTGCCAATAAAGCAGATATCTTTAGAAACACAAAATCAGCTAAAGATTTGAGTCACCTCTTAAAACAATCTGAAGACGCTATCTTTGGCCCGCTGACCAAGGTATAGATTTAGCTCTCTAAAAAACTGGAATTTTTTAGTTGGCCTCAATCTTTGACCCGTTCATCTACCAAAAGCTGAAGCCGGTAGCTTATTGGGGGGAAGCCGATCGTTTGCTCTTGGAGCGTTTTGGCAACAGTAGGTTGTAGATATCTTCAAAGTTTTTTTTCTTTAGATACCTCTGGAAGCCCGCAAGCGGTTACGAGCGTCGACGATGACTTGCTGGTGCTTGGGCTCGGGACAACGAGAGTGCTCTCGGACTTGGAGGTGCTGTTTAGTGAAATATATGTATAAGAGTTCTTAGGGTGAGCTGGAGCTATATCGGACGCAGTGTGTGCGCGGATTTACGACGTCCGACAGTTCCGGCTCCGTTGAGGGCTTTTGGACGGCCAGGCAACTGACAATGCCAAAGGTATGTCGCATAAATTGGAAATATGTATTAGCGCTTTAGTTGTTTTCCATCTCTCAAACTCTTCTCGGAATCCCGTGCTCCACCGTTGACGCAGAGGGCAGCCTGTCGAAATGCTTGGAAAGCTTGCCGGAGTCACGTCGATGCGCGATCCCTACTTCCGCGTATATTACTTACGCTACGTCGACAATTCGAAATGCGCAATTGAAGTAGGATTTTCTTGCGTATCTGGACTTTTTTAGGTCCTTCGCGGAGCCTAGCCCCGTATTTCTTGGCTTTCGGCCGGTGGAGACGGGCGTTTATCACCCACCGACTAATGTTACATTCGTTGAAGGTATGGTTTTCAATAAATTGAGCTTTGCTTATACCGAAATCAATTACATCGAAATTTCGAGCAATCCTGAAAAGATGAAAAACTCAAATAACCAACCAATTTTTACGCTTGATGAAAATTTTAAGTATTCAAGTTTCGGGGTAAGGATTTTCTGCGTGCGTGATTTCGACATAGTTAACCAGTATAACTTTAAAATCCTCTTTAGAATGGCGCCCCGACGATCCAGCTACCAGCGCCGATGCCACATTCCAGCAAAACTTCTTCTTTAACCCCCTCGATGGTTTTAAAGGCCCGGGCGAGGCTTGATTTTTTGTGAATATCTGTGAATTCTTTGATTCGGGGCTTACGATTAATATTGGCTTTTTGTTACTATCATAATAAAATTAATAATCGTTTTCCCTTTAATTAACTCACGTATATAACCATCCAAACGCGGTGCGACGATACTGCCCTGACCCCAGTGGGACAGCTTGGAGCCGTAGGTTTGCTGGTAGACGTACACCTGCGGATTCCCGCGCTCCCGCCAGAGTTCAGTTTCTTTGACGATGAATTGGGTAAAAGAAGCCGCGGTGAAGAACTAAGGGTCAGTTTTGTACTTTAAAAGTGCTATAAAGTACGGTGGTGCTATTTCGGAACCATGAAACGGAGTCGTTGTCAGTGGCGCCAGCTTTTAGATAGCTCTGAACCAGGCCCGGGGGCCCGGCCCGCGGGCGCCCCCCCCGCCCCGCCCCCCCCGCCCCCCCGCCCCCCCCCCCTCCCCCCCCCCCCCCCCCCCCCCCCCCACGCACCGAAACGGCCCCCCGGACCCCGACCCATATTTTTATATCCCCCCCCCCCCCCCCCCCCCCCCACTCCCCCTCCCCCCCCCCCCCCCCCCCCCCCCCCCCCGCACACAAAAAACAAATAGGGGGGGGGCACGATTTTTTCCCTTTTGTTTGTCCCCCCCCCCCCCCCCCCTCTTCTTTCCCCCCCCCCCCTCTCCTTCCCTTTTCTTTTGCCTTTCCCCTTCCCCCCCCCCAACCCCCCCCCCCCCCCCCCCCCCGGCCCGGCCCGCCCCCCCCCGGGGGAAACCGCCCCGGCCCGGCCCCCCCCCCCCCCCCCGCCCCCCCCCCCGGGAGAACCACCCCCCCATAAGACTATAAATTTTTAAAGATACACAATTTTACTTTTGTAATAACGTTCCAGACATCCGCTGCCCGAGCACCAAAAATTGTCGAAACATCGTCGAAAACCTTTTTAACAAACGCCCTCGAAAATGTATCAAACGTGACGCCGGCGGACATTTGGTAATACCCTAAAAAGCGGTTTTTGTAGTTGCTTAAGGTGACTTACAGGTACTGGCAAATTCATCGTGCATATTGCCAAGCATAATCGGAATCAATGGCCGGTCGACGTTCATATTTTCCGGGGTGTCCGGTAGAAAATAGTTGTCTTGCAACATGCGCCACCCGAAGAGGGTGCCCTTAAACGTTTATTGGTATAATCCTCAACTAAATATAGAGATTTTAGTCGCTAAAAATAGTGTTTTCGTTGAAAAATCGGACTCACCGCATCCATATTTCTCCATTTATCCGGATTCATGGTAGCGAAACAGGTTTTCAGTTTGTCCCATTGTTTTCCATCCCAATCGGCTTGCGTGAAGTTGCACAGCTGAAAGGGTAAAGGTATATTAAAGGCTACTAAAATATTAATGGTATAACTTTCATAAATTTGATTAATTTTGCTACCTGCATAGCGCGTTGCTGACTTAAATCCAAAGTCCCAAGCGAGCCCTCCAATGACGTGAAAATTGCACCGGATTGGGAGATGGCCTTTTGGAAGAGCCCTAGAAATCGATACCTTAAAACTCCATTACAAAAATTCATACCTCTAGAAAGTGGAGAATAAGTATGCGCAGAAGCGGAAATACTGCCAGCCGACTGCCCAAAAATCGTGACCGAATATGGATTACCGCCAAAGTATTGGATGTTGTTTTGCACCCATTTCAGGGCTTCGATCTACATAATAATAATAATATATTTTTTGGTAAAAAAATCGGCTAAACCTGATCAAGCATTCCGCGATTCGCCGGAAACTCGTCGGTGCTGGTGGTGAAGAAGCCGGGGATGTTCAGACGGTACTGGATGGTGACGACGACAACTCCGCGCGACACCAAGTTACGCACGGCGCCCTGGGGTGATATTAGTATAGCTGGGGAGAAAGTAAATTTTATAATTGGTTAATCGTTTTAGATTTCTTTGTAAGAATTAGGTAGGTTACTTTATTAGCTTCAAATTCTGACAATTTAGGCCGTCCGTTCAACATTATTTTTTACTACTTTTTACTAATCTTCAAAGCAGATACCTTCTCTTTATGAATATTAATATTTTCGTATACCTTAACCGGAAACTGTTGTGCACATCCAAGTGAAAATGCACCCCCATGAATCCAGACCATCACCGGGTACTTTTGGGCGCTTGTAGCCTGAATTTTTTGAGATTACCGATTACCGTTACCGATAAGTCAAGCCAAGTCCAAAGCTAACCCGGAAGCCAAGCGCGCAAAGTACCCGGCATGGTCTGGAGTTTTTTATTTTTGGATGGTTTATAGCTCCAGTATCTTTAGATTTTCGGCACCTTGTAAGGAAACTGGGCGGCACATCCGCCGGCAAATGATCCGCCGTGGATCCAGACCATCACCGGGTACTTCTGCGGGCTGTTCGCCTGAATTTTCGATGAGAGAGAGCGAGAGAGAGAGAGAGCAAAGGATAGAGATTAACCTGGGGCGTAAACACATTCAAATACAGACAGTCTTCGCTTTGTGGGGAGCAAGTTCCAGAATCAGGCTGAACGCAGGCTGGCCTAGATTGAAAAAATTGATATATTTTATCGTGTCTAGAATCGTCTGAAAATAATCGCAATGCCATTTAAAAAACTGCGCGCTAAAATCCGATTATTTTTCAGATTTAAGCGATTCTGCACATACTTGAATCCACTCTCATTAACAGTCCCATTCGGATAGCTGCTGATGGGGGTTGGAAACTATTAAAAAATAGTATATTTAAGCAGAAATTAACCTACCTGAAACCTCTTATCTCCAACTGGTGGCTCGGCAAATGGGATGCCGAGGAAAATGTCGGCCTTGCCGTACCAGAGTGCCGATTGGTTGGTCCCGTAGTCGACGTGGAAACCCTGAACCGGAAGTTGATTCGGAATTAAAGGCGCTAGGACGCAGAAATCTACTTTGGAACGGGTTTAGGTCCATACAGCTACGAATTGTGCCAAAATAAGGTTAAAAGCTAGCATGAAAGCGTCGATATCCAGCCGTGCGAGAAGTGGGAGTGGGATGTATGTACATTAATCCTTTTGACAGCGGAAAAAGCGAGAGAGAGACAGATAGAGATGTCACGTTATTTCGTATTTTTCAAATTCTAAGTGACAAAAAGTCAAATATTATTTGAACTTCGCTACCTAAAGCTTACCGTAACGGAGCCCAGCGGAGTTTGTACGGTAACTTGGGCCCAAATTTGCGCGCTTAATAAGAAAACGACCAGAAGGATCCTCATTTCGTTCGGCTTCGTCTGGGGAGACCAAAGAAAGGTGTGAAGCTTGGCTACGCGGCACTTATCACCTCGCCCGACTTTTATGGCGGTGTTAATTCGGGAGGTGCCAAAAATGGCTGGGCTTTTATCTCGCCTACCCTCGAATTCTCGGAAAAATGTCTTATTCTAGTTTCATTTAAAGGGGCTGCAAGGTATAACTATGGACCTGTGGTTATAGATTTCCTAGGGATTTTGAAGCTCCCACGGTCTGCACCCATGCGTTGACAGCCCCTTAAAACATTGTTTTCAGACTTGGCAGTGTGGAAACCTCGATTAGAAGATCCGTTGATCCCTGCCCGGACTTCTAATTGATAGCCACCAGATCGGCTGATTTCAGAGAGAGCGGTTAAATGGGCGGAGAACAACTGTCCCCACCCAAAGCTCTAACCCTCCATCCCATCCAGGCTTTTGACCCGAATCTGGGCCCTGGCCCTGAGCATATGAAGACCATGGGTCACACCGATCCGTCAAGATTTGTCGCCGTCACCCACCGAAAAAATGAGACGAGGCGAGGGCGGACAGGTTGCACTAGACACAACACTCAAGTTCAAAGGTTGCCTGGGCGATCGGAGATCTGAATCTGCGTACGGGGCATTAAAAAAGGACGATAAAAAGACTGACAAGAAGTTTTAAAAGCAGCAAAAAGCCTACGACACTCGGGATTCCCAAGCCGTCTCCGATCCAAGTACTAACCGAGCCCAACGTTGCTTAACTTGGCAGATCGGACGGGATGCCGTGCTTTCAACGTGGTATGGTCGTAGGCATGTCTTTCTTTAACTCGGGCCTCTATGAGCTACTGATACTCGCTACCAGGGTTGTTCATTTTGGGTCCGGTCCGCGTCCGTCCGGCCCGGGACGCGGACCCGTCCCGTCCGCGCAATTTGCATAAAAAAATGCGGACGGGCTGGGACGGGTCCCGGACGGGCCGGACGGACGCAGTGCGGGCTGGGGCGTCCGCGCGTCCGCAATGCAAATGACCGGAAGCACATGCAAATTCATTGCAAGCAAATTAACATCTTCGATCGATTGTTGCCTTTTCTTAATTTACATAACTGTTTTACTTCGGAAAGAACGCGAAAAACGGTCATTTCAGCAATTATCATGCAAGTTTTGGCTGCCCGCGCTTTGCATAGCGGGCTCAGCTACTTCCTGCGTCCGAGCCCGTCCGGCCCGTCCCGGACCCGTCCCAGCCCGTCCGCTCTATCGGAGAAAATTATTCGGACGCGGACGGGTCCGGGCCCGCGTCCGTCCGAGCCCGTCCGTGAACAACCCTGCTCGCTACTGATCGTAGAAAGCGTGAAGCAAACGAGTGTCCCTCTTAGACAGTGCCAGCCTTCATCCTTTCGCCTACGACCATACCACGTTGAAAGCACGGCATCCCGTCCGATCTGCCAAGTCAAGCAACGTTGGGCTCGGTTAGTACATGGATCGGAGACGGCTTGGGAATCCCGAGTGTCGTAGGCTTTTTGCTGCTTTTAAAACTTTCCTATTTTAGGTCAGTCTTTTTATCGTCCATTTTTAATGTTCCAGATAAACATCACGATCTCCGATCGCCCAGGCAACCTTTGAATTTGAGCGTTGTGTCTAGTGCGACCTGTCCGCCCTCGCCTCTTCTCATTTTTTCGGTGGCGCTATGGATTTTTCTTGAATAAGAATCTGATACGGATTTCACGCACTTTTCAATGGCGTAATCGATTATGCCCTTAAAAGCGGAGAGGCCGCTTGTGCGTTGCGCCGCGGCACGGCCGAATCGGTAATTCTGCCTTGCCGGTCCCTTTAACGTTCCCTCCCTCAGCTCCAATACGTGCCATTCACCCCCTAGGTCCCCCGTCAAAATTGTGAGGGTGGATGGCGGGGCTAGTGGAAAGTGTTGTGTCCCCCAATATCCCGAGGCCACCCTCTGTTCAGGGTCTCTGTTCATCTCCTCTCATTTGGCCCCACTCAATGTCTGGGTCCCCCTGTCTTTGGCCTTTCTAATCGGCTGTAAGGCCCCTCTCTTGTCACAGCCACCCGTCCGTGTATGTTTTTTTGTCGGCCGCTACTTCTTCACACCATTACTCTGCCACACCACCCGCCGGCTATCCGCTGATCTTGGGCCTCAAAAACGATTGATCCAATCTTGCAGGATATTTTTGGGGTGTTAATGTCTTTTAAAATCTAGGAAGGTATCCCTTTTGCGATATAACTATTTTCTTACTTCATCCCATTTTCGCTGTAAAACTGCTTTTAAAGGCAGGTTTTCCGCATGAGTTCCGGTCCGGCTTCTCGTTCCGGTCACTAACAGTCCCTATTCGCTGTCATCTATTGGACATCTCATCTTCCCTATTCGCTTTTTGATGTCACGATCCTAAGAATTAAATTCCGTGTAAGATCTACCCAGTCGTAAAATCTGGCCGTTGCTCTGACGATTTCCGACCTCATAAAAATTGTAAGCTCGCTGGAAAGAGCTTTTTTAAGAGTGTTTTTTGTGGTAGCCAAGCGATTTGCACGAATTCTAGCTATAATCCCGACGGCCAAAATACCGACAGCCATAATCCCGAAACCATAATCGACAATCAAAATCCCGAAATCCAAACCCGCTGAGTCAAAATACCGACAGGCCAAAATGTCGACATATCGCTGACGCTAGCTTGAAACCCGCTTCCTTTAAATAGTATTTTGGGCTAAACTCCAGATAACCCCCCCCCCCAGCCGACCCCCACCCACCGTATCTCGGCTCCTTTCTCTACAGGTGTGAAAGTATCCAAAATACTCAAGCAAGACGAACATTTTGGTATACTTTACACACCTGTAGATGAACAGGGAGCCGAAATACAAAAGTTGGGTGCCGGCTGGGGGGGGGGGGTATCTGGAGTCTTACCGTATTTTGGTATTTTGGCTTTTGCGATTTTTCTAAGGATAATGAAGGCAATCGATATTTTGGCTGTGGGCAATTGAGCTTTCGAGATTTTGTCGATTGCCCGGATTGCGTTCCGACATTTTCACCTAAAAGCCTTATCCGCGTCATTTTACTGAGCCTATCACCTTTTGTCGAGGCCTAGTGGAAAGCACAGGGCGATTCGCGCGCTTCCCATCCCCTTTAAGACTCTAATCTTGGCACCACCCTCCTGACAAATCGCTTTTGCCAACCCCAATTGTCGCCTCTCAAACTGCCCCAAATATTTTGGCCATTCAGTAGGGGCGGTAGGTGCCTTGTTTATCGGGATAAATCATCGAAATAGTGGGCCCTTAGGGATGAGCTGGAGAGGCTGTTTTCAGAGGGGACACGTGTGCTAGAGAGTGGCCGCTCTGCCACGGCGTTCACTCAAAAAAGATCAACCCATCGTGATCTGTTGAGTCGCTGAAAGAGTCGGACTCACTTTGGGTTCAGGCTAGCTGCTAATTACTACAAATAACTGGGATTCGCAAAGGTTGTTTTCATGGATTATGGTTTTCTCTATTTTACGATGCATCTTTCTCTCTCCCACGCTCTCTCCGCCTCCCCCCCCCCCCCTTTCGCTCTCTCTCACTGCTTTGGCTAACTGCTCTCGTTCTGCTTTAACGCTTTGTTCATGGTTGTCGCAACCGAGTCGATTCTGGAGCTTTCTAGGCCCTCTAGATATACCAAAACCGGAAGTTCGTCTCTTGCCAGTTTCAAAAGTTCAGTTCCTTTCACTTTTTTCTCCGCTGTCACTGCGCTTTCAGGGCGCCCCCGCCGCACCCCCCTTCGGGGGGGGGCGGGGGGGGGGGGAAAGGGATCTTTCGGCCCCGCCCCCCCGCGCGGCCCCTTCCCTCCCCGCCGCCCCCCACCCCGCCCCGACCCTTCCCCAAAATGGGGAAAAGGGGCCTGCCGCCAGAGCCCCTTAAACCTAGTGGCGAGCTATATTGTCCCGTTTTCAAGGGGTTGTGCCTTCAAGAAGAACGGCTCTAAGACGATGATTTTAGATGTGAGTGGATTTTCCTGGTAGATTGGAATGTATCTTCATCTCTCTCTCCCTCTCCCTTTCTCTCGCTTTTTCTCTCCCTCTCTCTCTCTCTCTCTCTCTCGCCCTCTGAAAACCTTTCATTACCACCCACTTCGGAGAGCTCGCCAAAATGGTTGAACCCTAAAAATCAACCCGCCCATAGCTCTTCAGCCCCCGGCGTCTTTGTTGTGGCTGATAAATGTGCATATTAAGGGGCGAGAGAGTGAGTCCACACGAGAGAATTAAAGATTACCAGTGCCCATTACTCTGGGGTTAACGCAAAAAATTGGACCACCTGGTCGGGGGTCCAACCCGCAGCTCTGATTATGTGTCGGTGTGGTGACACCTTGGCCCCAAACGGTTGAACCCCCCACCGACGAATCCCACCTTTTTACGGGTCATTAGGATTTTATTGCGGGCGGGGGATTAAAGGTGTGGCTTGGCTGCTGTTCTTCCTCGTTCATTCCGTGTGCACATCCACTTCCCCAGCCCCTTCCCTAAAAATGCTCTTCCAGTGCACGATGCTCAGCCCGGCGATGCTCAAGTCGATGGGGAGACGGTAAGTCTGGTTTTGAAAGCGATTACGGTGGGATAAGGCATACCTCATTTCGCTTGAAAAGTTGGTTCGTATATTTGGTACTTTTTGGGATTTTGCGTTTCTGTCTCGCTTTCTCTCTCTCTCGCTTGCTCTCTCACTCACTCACTCTCTCTCTCTCCCTTTCTCTCCTCCTTGCTCTCTGCACCTAGAATTTTATTTCGATTTTATATCAAATTATGTACCGTTCAGGACATCGAGAGAGGTCAATCTACCCCTCGACAAGATCAGACAAGATTCCAAGGGAAACCTATTACCCTTGATCGAAGATGAGGAAGTTATGCAGGTATTTATCGTGATTGGCCCGAGCCGAAGCCCACCCCGAAGCCTAAACCTAAGCCTAAGCCTAAGTCTAAGCCGATAGCTCAGCCAAGCCGATACATCTCTGCAATAGGTAGTTGATTGCAACACCAACCTGAACCCAG